CCTCACACCTTAACCTTCTTGGTCCAGCCATAAACTGCTTGTTCCCTACATACACCATGCTTGTCTCCCCATGAAAACTATGATTACGCTAGCTGTCCCATGTACTTAGATTGCCTTTTCAATTTGTTGATATTAACATGAACCCATAAATCTGAACACATTCGATTTAAAACTGTTGGTGTGACTGTATCCCCACTAGACTGAGCTCAGTGAAGATGGAACTGTATCTTACTCAATTTTGTATCTGGCTGCTGGCAGAATGTGTAGCAAACAGCGCTCAATGACGCATTCAGCACAAGGAGTAACAGGCAGGAAGTCATACTGGGGATCTCCTTTTCCTTTATTCTCCACAAAGGGAAATCTGTCTTATTAATTTCCTAGTTAAATACTTTTTCACTTCATGTTCAACTGCTATTCAAAATCTTACAACTAGACAATGACAATAGGCTCCATACTCTGAGCACACACTCCCCACACTGCTATCAGAATACTACTCTACCTTGGAAGCCTGTTTATATCAAATTCTTATTCAAAATTCTTCAGCAGCGCTGTAACCACTTAGAGAATGAATTTTTTGCTTTAAGCTTTTTAGAGTGACTTGTATATTAAATTTGAGAAACACATTTAACATCTAAACAAGAAAATTACCTATCTACCACACAGAGATAGCCTTGTTAATAATTTATAATTTCTTCCAAATCTCTTACATGTGTATCTGTTTGCATGTATACAAATTATATCCATATTTTAACAGGCATCATGCTGAATGTCATATGAATCAAGGTCTTTGTTTTTCAAAGTAACTAATTCAACCTATTCACATTTTCCTGGTTCCCCTACAACTTTACATTTCATTACTTTTTCCTGTTTAATTGTACTAGCTAGTATCTCCAGAAAAATGCTGAATACTGGCGGTGACAGTCTTCATCTTATTCTTATTCCAGGCTTTAGAAAGCAATGTATTGGGTGTTTCACATTAAGTGAGATGCTTCCTATTGGTTTCTGATATTATTCTTTATGAAGTTAACAAAATGTATGTGGTTTTCTAAGAGCTTTCATCATCAAGGGAAAGGTATTAAATTTTTTTCAGATGTCTTTTCTGTATCAAGTTGATCATATAGTTTTCTCCTTCCATCTATTCATGTAAGTTAATTATTTTTAAATGTTTACCAACATGGATCCATCATAAACAAATTTAAACTTATTAATATGGCTTATCTGGCCTTCAGGATCTGGACTCTACCTTAAAAATCAAAGCCTACCTTTTACTCATTGTTCAAAAAATATGCCAGGCTTTTTCAGTCACGACAATCTTTGTACCTTTTGTCAGTGGAAAGGCTTTTCCTCTTTCCTGGGCTTCCAGGTGTATTCCCAATCATCCTTCAAGACTTAGCATATTAAATCCTCTTGTTTCTTCCTTTCTCCCATCACTATTCCCCTGCCCCTCCCTGAATTAAGCACATCTCACGGTGCTCCTGGTATCTCTCTCATACTGCCATTACAGTACTTCTCATTAGACTGTAATTGCTTACTCATTGTCCTTCCACAGTGATAGTCTAACTCAATTTTCACTGGTTGATGGGCATCTGGGTTGTTTCCAGTTTCTAACAATTATCTGGCTGCTATGTATACTTATGCTTAAGCCTTTATATGGATACGTTTTCATTTCTCTCAAGTACATAACCAGACACAGAATTACTGGGTCATAGATATAGGTACGTTAGCTTTATTAGACATTACCAAACATTTTCCAAAGTGATAGTATCAATTTATACTTTACCAGTAATATGAGTTTTAGTTCCTCCATAAATTCACCAACATTTGACATTACCAGTCTTTTAAAAATATTTTTCATCATTCTGGTGTCTATGCAGTGTTATCTCGTTTTATTTTTAATCTGCATTTCTCTGTTGGCTAAAGATGCTGAATACCTTTTCATACTTATTGGCCATCTGGATTTCCTCTTTTCATGAAGTCCTTTGCCCATTTTTAAAAAACTGAGTAATCCTTTTTTATTTCTTATAAAATTTTGTCATATATATTTTATACACATGTACATCTCAATATTTCAAAATCAAATGATCAAATACCATTTCCTAGTCTGTTGACTTGCATTTTTACTGAATAAGCAAAAGTTCACTAAATGAAATGCAAGTTCTCAAACTTTTCTTGATAAAAGCACTTTAATGACCCAAAAACTTGTTTTGCATTTATTAATGAATATTCTAGATTGTCAGAGATATAACCTGGATCTAAATATCTGAAAATTTCAAAGGCTGTATTATCTATTATATGATATTTGATGTTTAACTGGTATTTTAAGCTATAAAAACAAAGAACACTTCTAATGTTTTAAAACATTCTTTCACCAAATTCCTTAAGGTTTTTTTTACTTAATCCAATTAAATTTCCATTTAAAAATAATACAACTGAAGCATGAGGCAATTTCTTCCTTTAAATACTGTATATGAAAATAGGTAGAATTATGAATGCTAAAAAGCAAAACATTAGGCAATGGGCACACAAGTAGCCTAGTTAGTCTTATCCCAGTCACAAGACCTCACCTGGCCTCAATATTCAGAAACAGAAAACATAAGGGTTGAATTAGGTGATTGCTAAGCTTTTTCCAGCTGTAAAATAAAGGCAATGAGTACATTTAATCTTCTGAATTTTGTTATCAGATTTAACATTCTTTGATGAGTTCCAAGTACATCTTTTTTTTACATGCTATGCACTGTTAAGTCAGAGCTGCCACACAGTTGTGCAGGCACAACTCCAGGGAAGTCATTCACACTGCAGCACAACCATACATTGTTGCCCTTTTTGGGTTTGTCATTTTGCACTTATTTTAAGACCAGTCTCTTATTTTAAGACCAATGACACTAAGTACCTACATATTTCATCACCACCAAAGCAAAAGAATTCTCAAGCACTACTGAAGGATGCGAAAGTGAACTTTCAGAAAATCTTGATACGGTGCTTTTAAAATTGTGAACCATGTGAATACGTTAGCTATCCTAAAACTAACATTCAGAACTGATGTTTTAAAGTCCTTTTTAACCATTTCTTTCTTTCTCAAAGCATTACTCTTTAAGCCACTTCTAGTTCTTTGCCTCTCAATTCCTAAAAACCTTTAAAGCTATGCTGCCTCTTTTTCCTTTCTTTTCACCCATTCTGTTGTGTGTCATTTTCTTCTAACGGAGCAATTTAAATCTCTTTCGCTTATATAATTCTCTTTTCCACCTACTGCCCTAGCTAGCTGGACAATACTTCTCCCTAAATGGGAAGAGAAGGATTACAATTATTACAGTCCTACATAATAAATATTACACTATATTTGTGAATAAATAAAATCAAAGTACTGTCAGTTATTTTAATCTTTATAGAATTTTCAGAAAACCCATTTAAACTGTAAGTAAAACTACAGGGATATAATTTATTAATGAAATATTTTACACATAATTTTGCATACAAAATTTGCATATATAATGCAATATATAGTGCGTATAATAAAAAGCACAAATAGGTTTCAATTTGTCTTTTAAACTAGTGGATGGAAAATTTCCTTTCTACAAACAGGTCCTTAAGTCACACTCTCTCATCCTGCATAACATAAGACTTCTCTCATCCACTCTTGCACACTGGATCTTTGCCTATTTATAGGTATCTAAACGAAGACAATACATTCTGTGCTAATCTGAAGGGCCTCCTAAACTATTTTACATTTTTACATGTCTGTAGCTCTGGAAGTCCCACCCTTGCTCCAGCCCATTTTCTGTTTTGTCTCTGGGTTCAATGAAATAGATTTACTTGATGGGCTTCTAGAATTACTAGTTTTTAATACCAAAATAACTTAAAATCTTATAACAATGACACAATGTCCACCCCCCCCAAAATAGGAGATGGCTTAATTATACCCTTTAAAAACTTTCAATTTAAAAGATGTTTGCAGAACACATTAAACACTGAACATCAACAAGCAGCAGAAACTAGAACTTAAACATCTGCATGTTAACATCGGAAACTCTCACTGTAGATTAAAATTTAATTATTTTTGCCCTTCTATGTATGGTTTCTATAGAGGAAAAACTTCAAAATACCTACAAGTAACAAATCTTAGAAATTATATATTTTTGACATCTTATTATCAGATATAATTTAATCTCATCAGTATTCATTTACCTCAGTTTATAATACATAATGTTTAATATAAAACTATCCTAGAAGTATTCAAGATTTGTTTCCCCTTTAGTAATTTAGACAAACATTTCTCTCACTATGTAAACATGTAGTTGTATATACAAAACTGATGCTCTTTTCATGAAACAGAGCCCTAACTCTGAACTAAGTATGTATCTTTTCAGGATAAAATTCATGTAAGCAAATTTTTCCCAACACAAAAAATAATTAACATGTAACCAGCAGTAATTAATTCTAACAAGCCTTATATTCACATCAGTATTTTCCAAGAATACTGCTTTACTATCACTAACAATTATCGTGTAGATGTCAATGAGATGTTCAGAGTACATACCTCTTGTGCAAGATCTTGTGCATTGGAGATAAGAGGAAATGGAGGACTGGCCTTGTTCATGTGTACTGTGACAGCGTTGTGTATCTTAAATGCATTCTGGAAATCTTTATTTTGTACAAGTTGTAAAAGCAGTGAAATATCCTCCTGGCTCTGAGAATCTACCAAAGTATGCTGGATATGCTTAAGTGAAGAAAATAAGTCTTCCACTTCTAGTAGGAGAAAGAAAAGGTATCCAAAAATTAATTTTCTGTCTCAATTCCACATGTGTTTTAAGATAAAATTTCTTGAACCAATAACAATTTAAATTTTGAATAAAACCAAAACTTGCATATATTTTTGAGTGTCAAATCATTGTCATTTTACTGATTAAGTTAACTTTAAAAAAATTACACAGCAGAAAAAAAAATTAAGTGTTTTAACTATAAAATACATATCACTATAAAAATAAATGAGAGGAAGAATACATAAATGAACAAAGAAATTTAAAACCACCAACAGTCCCATCACTTAGAAACAACTTAAAAAAATCTTACAGTATTTTCTTTTTTCATTTAACAGTATAACTATCATAATAGTCGGAAATTGTTTTCTAAATTTTTCCATCTGTCTGTTAATTGTATTTGTGGTACCTTTACTGTAGAATTTTGACTGTTAATGTGTTAAGAATGATCCACACACAAAAAAAAGCATGATTCACCTTTTCCTATGTGATTTCTTTTATTGTTTTTATACTTATAAACTCCTTCCCTAGATCATTAAATGTTTTACCTACATTTCTTCTATCTTATTATTCCCTACCTGCAAGCTCCTTATATCTAGTATCAAATTACTTGTCCTGCAGTTTGATTTATTTCCTCTTACCTGATGTTCAGTAAAAATTGTAAGCTTCCATCATCTCCTCCAACATTTCATAAAACACTTAAATCTTGATTATTTATGTTAAAAGAGAGGGCATATTATTGAAAAGTAAGGAAAATCACTTACATTTAGCTTTGGGATACAATTAATCAGTTAAATACAATCATACACAGAAGTCTACAAAACCACCCCCTGAACTCTCTCCTCTCCCCTCTAGCCCTCTCCTGGCAGCCTAAAATATAAAAGAATCGAGACTCTAGACAACAGAAAGCAATCACCAAGAGTTCCTCTGAAAATTCTCTCTCCAAACACCCAAGACTCTGGAGAATTTTTTTGGCCGTAAGGATAAACAACTGAATTACTTAAGGAAGCTGAGGAATCTCCATCTCTGGAGATCTTTCAAAGCAATGGAGATAACTATCTACCCTGGATTAGCTTTGCTTAGTTTTACTTATTGCTATCGTTTACCCCACATGGAAACAGTTTCTAGACATCTGTTCTAGCATTAAGATTCTTCCATTTCATTGTTTAAATAATACCAATCATTTAAACCTATCAGAAGTTTTTAGATTTCAACCAACTTCATGACTTTTTTCTGAAACTTTTGAAGATGTCTTCTTTTCTCCTTAACTGTACAGTCAAATTTAATATTCAGATGAGAAAATTAATAATATTGAGCATGAGGAAATTATACAGTTTCCAGTATATTTATCCACAGAATTACAAGTAAAAGTAAAAGCTCATTTAGGAAATCTTTGCTTAAGTAGGAACAGTCTTTCCTTTTTCTTTCTTTCTTTTTAAATTTAAGGACATAAAATTCAGATCTCTGCACTTTGGTTTTCAGTGGACTAGGCTGAAATTCACTTATTAAAAATAATCAGAAGCTCATGAAAGATCCTGAACAGTAATTAACCATTAACAAATTGGGTTACAAATTAAAAAGAAATACTACAAATATACAAGCAAAGATAGCTGAGAGAGATGGCAGAACAAAAAACTTAGCCCTAAATATAAGACAACAGAAAAATATTGCAGTGACTGCTAATCAACCAAGTACAAAAACTTCACGACTGTTCTCTGGATGAAACTGAAAGGAGTTTGGTGACTGAGAAAAAGACTAAAATTTGGAGTCAGAATACCTGGGTCCTAGTTATGGCTTGGGTCACTTATTAGCTGCATTATGTCTCCAGACCTGCCTATAAAATGAGTGGGTAGTATTTCTCAAACTTTTGTTGGTGATCCATTAAAAATATATTTTTTATTTCTCAACCCAGTATACACATATCTATTTGAAATAAAAGATTTATGAATACTTATGTGCAAAATACTTTAATATCTTCTATTTTATTCCAATTCTTCAAAAAATTACTGGTTGAGAGGATGGCTAAAATGAAAAAGATACATAATAATAAGTAGAAAGCAAGGATGTAAAGAAACTGAAACCCTCACACACTGCTGGTGAGAAGGTAAAACTGTGCAGGTACTGTGAAAGATACAGCAGTTCCTCAATAAGTTAAACACAGAATTGTCACATGATCCAGCAATTCCACTCACAGGTATTTACCCGTGAAAGCAGATGTTTAAATGAAAACTTACACATGAATATTTGTAACAGCACTATTCAGACGAATGGATAAACGAACAAAAAAAGTGGTATTTCCATACAGAGGAATATATTATTCAGTCATAAAAAGGAATGAAATACTCATTCACACTACAACAGATGAATCCTCAAAACGTTATGCTATATGAAAAGAAACCAGTCACCAAAGGCCACATATTGCATGATTCAGTTAGAGGAAATGTCCCGAATAAACAAATCCACAGACAGAAAACAGATTAGGGTGGCCAGCAGTTAGGGGGAGGAGAGACAGGGAATGAATGCTAATTGGTCCAGAGTTTCTTTTTGGAGTAATGAAAACACTCTATATAATGATGATGGCTGCACAATCTCATGAATATACTAAGAACTCATGAACTGTACATTTTAAAAGAGTGGATTTTACAGTATGTGAATTATACCTTAATAAAAATGTTATTTTAAAAAATAGAGTAAAAAATTACTGGTTAAGATCCACAAACTAAGTTCATGGACCAGAAAGTCAGATGATCTATCTCGTAGCTTCTGGTTCTCACAAAAGTTGAATTTTAGTCAAACCTACAACGTGCAACGTGCTTATACACATGTTTTCCCTTGGTCCTCAAGAAGATTCTGAAACTGAAGGTCAAAAAATTAAGTAACTTGTCAAAGGTCAACAGTAAGTGAAGGTTAAAAGTATTTAAACGCTACCATCTGACTCCAGGCATCCCCGCACTTTCCAAAATGCAATGATTTCTGAACATACAATGATGCAAGTCTTTGAAAGGGTGAAAAAGTTAAAACCTATTAATACTTAACAGTTGCAATGAAGTTCTGACACACTGTGTCAAAGACTAAATGGTACAGGCATTAATTATTTTTCAGTGGAATTAGGCATATTTAATAACTAAACATTACATGGCTATATAAATATTCTAATGATTCTTTTAATCTTTATTTTACATTTGTTCTAATTTTAGCAGCCTGAACAAATCAGAAAATTGTCAAATGGGCCTAACACTTTAAACATTAAATCTAGTACCAATGTCTAACCATTTCATTTCTAGAAAAAAAAAGTCCCTCTATGGCTAACAAAGTTTGGAAATATCTATAGCAGTTGAGGAAAAATTTAATAGCAAGCGTAATTAACAATTAACTTCTCAGAAGTAGTATGCACTCAAAGTTTATTGGCACTGGAATTTTGTTTGCTGGCTTTAAATAAACTTTATCTTAAAAGCCAATCTCTCATCACAATCCAGCAAAAGTCCAGTATATCCCACGATCAATCAAATGTCAAATAACGTCAGTAAGAAATGTGTAAGAAAAATTTTACTTTGTAACATCAAATACAAGAATACTCTTGACTTACTAGTTTGAATATTCAGGCAAAAAATATGCAGATACATAGTATTATTAATAGTATGAAAATAGTTTATTCATCCTAGTTTTCTTCCCCTTCGTGTGTCTTTATTTTTTAACACTGATAGCAACTTGTGGAAATTAGGAAGTCCCTAATTACAAATTTCAAGGATCCTCTTACTACGCACATAACAGATAGCTCACCGTGTGTGTGTGCTTGCCTTTCCTAAGGTCTCTCCAAAACCTTGACAATCATATAGTCACATATACGATAGACAGCAGTGTTTCCTAGTTTATTTTCTTTAAATATTTTGTCTATTATATTAACTTGTCCACAACCCTGCTTCAAAATTACTTATCTGTGACTACAAAAATCAACATAACAGTGAAATCTACCATCTAAAGATATCTGAAGATAATCTTACAGTACCCCATCCTACTCTAATTTGCAACTGCTCTTTTCTCAGGACTTTTCTCACAAGGCAGTGTGCTTTGCTTATGAAAGGGAACAAGACAATGATGTTTTATTCGTAGCAAAACAAATTTTAATAACTCATGCTATTCTAAGGAAAGCCTTCATAATATACCAAAATTCTTATAATTTATACCACTAATATTAATTATTCATTTGAGATTAAGTTCCCACACATTATTTTCTAATTTTCAGTAAGATTCTCACTGCTTTTAAACAAGAAAATTCATTTCATCCTTTTTGAATACTTTCTATCAATTCCATCCCTACATTTTTATTATTACACAGTGCCAAATTTATAAATACTTTCACTAAAAGCCACCACCCAGACAGACGATTAAAGTATCTAACGTTTCCAATCATAGTTTCAATTCTTTAAGGAATATTTTCTCTACTCACAGATAAATGATGATGTGTCATTTGGAAACTGAAGTCTCCCTCTCAAAGAAATAAATCAGTTGTCCCATCCTTCCCTTATTTAAAACAAGGTTGCTGTTTTTGGCTGTGAAAAAGGCTGAGAAGTTGTCTTTTGGCATGTGTGTATTAATCAAAATACTGGCAGGCAGACTCATACAACTTTAAGGGAGTACTGCTGTAGGTTGATGTGTTAGCAAATTATAAATAGGAAAAAAATGTCTGGTAAAAAGCCACTACACTTCATTTTAAAATGAAAGCTTAAAACTGAGTACGTCCAAAACTGAAGATTTGACTGACAAGAACAACTTTATAACGTTCCATGTTTCCTACAAGTAGCACATTTGTGTTGAGTGTATTAAAATTAAACCATTTATTTCTCAAAATAGGAAATATTCTCCTATCCAAAAATGACTTACAAATATCTAGTACTACATCTCAAATTACTTTAAAATATGTAATTGTCTATTGGATGGACATTTATGCCTAATATAAGTAAAGCAAATACACAAATTCATTAACCTTAAAGAAATGTAAACAGAAAAACAAGACTCAATCCAGACTTGGGCTGGATACATTATAATGTATGGTTTCTCCAATCGCACAGAATATTCACAGAGTCTTTTAATAAAAAATAATGAAGTGGTAGAAGATGAAGGCCAGTAAGCAGCAACTGGGAATTAAATCTTTTTATGTTAACAAAACTCTTTGGGAAAAAGTGCATAAAATTCCTCCCCATAAATTTATTTTTAAAAATGTGTAATCTTTCTGTTTTCACTACAATGCCTCTCATCTGAAGGCGTTTAGCAGACTTTCGATCACTGAACACACCTATGATTTCTTAAAACACAGAGAAGCATGCACATTGCTTTCTGTCAAGAAATACGGATCCTTAATAACTGTATAGCAAGAAAAGCAGCAGACGATGTGATGTAGTAGAAACTGCTCTAGACATAGAATATAAAGACTTAATGAGGAACAAAAGTAGTATATATGGTACATTTGGGCAAATTAGAAAAAGATATTCCACTCTTGGTAAACAAAGCTCTGGTCCAGAAAGCGAAGAGCAGGCTAGATGTCAGTCTCCACTCAAATCCTTTGTTTTTTGTTTTTTGGGCTTTTTTGCAGTATACCAACTGCATATTCAAATTGGGCAAATTCAAACTTGGCTCTAACACTTAGCATGGAGTCTTAAACAGGTGATTTAACTGAGGTTCAACTTATTTTTATTTTTTATTGAAGTGTAGTTGGTTTATAGTGTGTCAGTTTCTTTATCTCCAAAACGGCGACTACAGAGCCCTGTTAACAGAACTACTGTGGATATTACACAGAATGGTGTCTGATGCAGCCTCCAGCACAGGGCTCAGTAAACAAACAAAGGGCAAGACGATGACAACAAAACCTCTCTCCTTCCACAGAAAAAGGAAGGGTCTCTCCTTCCACACCTATAAATAATAAACCACCAAGAAATAAAATACTTCATTTGAGTTAGCCTGGTTTTAAGGGAATACAAGTTAATGTATACCCCTAACACTAGTTCAGGGGTCTCTCGTGTGTGTGTGCAAGAAGGGAAGGCAGTAAATTCAACAATGAAGTATTTCAAGTTTGGAAACACTCATTTGACATTAATCTCTCTTGAGGATTCATAATGGCTATTAGCATTTTAAAAGCTGTAAGAAATACTTTAATAAGAAGCTGTTTAACTTATTTAACCTACTGTTTTCAAAATTTATTTGACCACAGACTTCTTTGTTTATATCTATTAATATCTATGGCACTAAATTTTTTGTTTTCTTCACAAAATGAAATTTGAGAAGAGTCAGCATAGCAACTGTTGGCCATGTTTCATGTGTATTATGCCACAGGAACAGCACCAGTTCTTCTCACTGATAGTCATTAACTAAAGAAAAATCAAATCAATGTTAAGCTACAGATACTGATTTTATTACTATTTTACAAACTTTACAGAAATCAGAAATTTAAAATCTGAAAACTGCTTATCAGTAATTTTGATATAAAAATTTGAGTGTGAAATAAAATATGAATTTCAAGGCTTTAATTGCTAGGCCTCATGTAGAAATTTTTAATTCAAAGATTGTATCTAAAAATCACTTTGCAGTAACTGAACACTTAGGCTACATGTTAGTTCCACATGGCTAACAGTAAACGATGGTTATATGGCCTTTCCAAGAAAAGAACTGACTCTGGTCTGAATACAAATTGCTATTACTTACATTCTCTTATACTCCTCCTCTTCCTTCCTATACACATTTGTGTAAGACAAGAGAAACAAAATCAAAATATTTTCTATTATTCTGCTGTTTTTACTTACCTAATATTTTCACAGCATAATGAGGACTTTCTAAGACAATTCCCTCCTCTGTATCAAATATAGGGTTATCTATTCCAGTTTTTGGAGGAATTTGGGCTAGTTTCTTAAGTCTCATGGAAGAATTAAGGTCAAGTTCTTGTTTTTTCCCTTCTTCCTCTCGCCTACGCCTCATGTCCTCCTGCTGTTGCCGAATACGCTCCAACTGTGCACTTCGACGTACTGGCATCATCCTGGTGCCCAAATCTCCAGGGCAGTCAACAGCCATCTCTCGGTGCTTCTGATGTTCCTCTGGTGATGCAAGATCAACATTTTTTACTTCGCTGTCTGATTCCTCAGTAACATGCCCATTCATATGGGATGTTGTCATGGTTATCTATAAAAACCTGTACCACTTTTTATAAATCAACTTTTCCTATAAAGCCAATCTCTTGATTCTGTAGTATAAAATCCATGTTACTTCAAAAAAAAAAAAAAAACTTCTCACATCACATAATAATGCTATGGAAATGTATCCATGAAGGAAATCTAAGGGGAAAGACGGGGGGGGGGGAGAAAAGTATAAGAATTACAATATAAAAGTAGATTTTACATAGCCCCCTTCTAATCTCTATTTCTATACAATATAGAAAATATCTCGTAAGTATATATTATATTGCTATATAGATTAAACATTTTTCCTTTCATTTTACACATCTAAGGAAATCAAAGTGTTTGGGAAAAAAGTCCCCTCTCAATTATTTGAAGCATATTGTTTAATTTTATAGCTGAGAAAAATGACATATTGGAAAGTTTAGTAAAGCAGAAAAGTAAGAAAGTTCTGGGTACTAGTCTAGTACAGAGTAAGATACTTAAGGTATAAAGATGTTTTAGTCACCCTTATAGTTGTCTCAACACACACTGTACTTTATACCCAACTGATACACAGGGGATTGAGATAACTTCCTAGTGAACTGCTGAAGAACCTGGCACAGAGCAAGCCATACTAATGATTCAACTGAGATAAACGCAGTATTGTGTGAGACAATTCACTTTTAGGAGTTTGAGATGAAAAAGATACCCAGCAAAAAAGAAATTTTATTAGCAGCTAAGGCATCTGCAGGATAAAACCATATAAAGTGAGAAAAAGACTATGTAGGTTATCTATCATCTTTATAACTCGTCACACTAAAAAAAGGATTACTGTTAATTCTTTTTGAGGATTCATTTTTCTCTTCATTTTGAAAAAAATGGTAGTATCTGTTACCACTTAAAAAGGTTTTAAAGTTATACTGCACAGCAAATAAGAACATACTGGACTTGGAGACCAGAAAACTGAATTTTAATTCTGGTCCTGCTACTTCCTCTAGCTTTATGATTTAAGACTAGTTTCTTCCTCTGAACCTCGGATTCCTTTGGAAAATTTATTCATAGACTTGCTCTGAGTTTTAAATAAGATAATCTATGTAGGTTTTAGAACTAAAAAATATTTATACTTCTATTAATTTTCAGTATTAATTTGACTCTCCTATTTTAAAAATCCTTCAACATATTTTAGACAAGGAAAATATTTTACTGGATGACATTGGCTTCTCATCAAGCCATTTTTCAGGCATTAAATAGGTAGGTTGTTTATACATGTGTAAACCCAAACATTAAATCTAATTAGCCTTCTTTTGCTCAAGACTTTAAAAATATTTACAATAATAAACCTACTACCTCCATGGGTTGAGCAGCACGTCAGTAAATACGCTGGTTAGAGAATATGCCAACTAAGCAAAAGCTGAGTTTTCAGACAATATTCCTGGGGCCACTCAATCTTCTCTCAAACAAACATCTTGTCACAGACTGCTTAACACAAATTCACCTAGACTACCAGGAAAAATCACTAGACCAACAATCAGAAAAATAGATGCAAGCTACATAAACCACTAGAATTACATTTTCACAAGAATGTTGGTAGCTTTTTCTGTCTTCTATCCAAATTTTAGCTCCTCTGTTTATAACTATGTGATCCACATTTAAATATCTTATTTATCATTAAATTGACTTTTTCATTAAAATGAGAGCTTTTAGAATTATACAGACAATTCTTAAGTTTTATATATTGATTATATGCAAATGCAAATTCAGCAAATTTAATATTTTCATTACAAGTAAGCAGGAATTTGTCTAGGAGTTATTGCAGTACTTATTTTTAATTCTAAAAATCTAGGAATGTATACACTTTCAGAAAATTACAACTCTCAACTTTCTCTAGTTACAACATTTAAGGGATATCAAAAATCAGATTTAATCATGAGTATTTTTTACTTATATATATACTAGTCCACAAAAATTATGATCTGAAATTAAAACTTGGCTTGAAAACGATAAGGCTGTGTCCATATTCACTATACTAGACCACAGGGAGAAAATTATAATTAGGCAAGAGAAACTGGGCCAGGGGATCGGAATCAAGAGTTCTTATGCTTGGACTATGATCATGCTTATCTACCTGGATCTAGTCTTTTACTCTCAGAAAAACTTTTGCAACCTGATACTATGCCATTTAAAATTCCATTTTGGTCATTTCCCTTAGAATATTCCTAGTCTACTGGGAGAGACAGCAACAAAAACGGATGATTATTCTTCCCGGTTGATTTCTCCTCATTCAATTCTAAGTTTGTTACAGACAAGGGTCATGAATGTCTTATTTTACCCCAATTCTTAACACAATACATGTTATATAGGAAATGCCCAGTAACTAGTTGTTCAACTAAACTTAGAAATGTCATAAATTCGCACAGACGACAGACTCTAAAATTTAGTCTGTGGTAAAAAGTCATAGCAAATACTTAAAAGCATAAGGATACATTTCTTTGAGCAGCATTTAGAACAGTCTGTTCCAGGCAGAGGGAGTCACATGACCAATAAGAAGAGAACACGAAAATATGGCACTTTCAGAAAGTAGAACAGAATGCAAAGAAGGCTGGATGGGATAAAGGGAGTATGTCATATATGAATAATGATAGAACTGGAAAGGCAAGCAGGAGGCCAGATGAAGAAGAGTAACAGCTAAAGAGTTTGACTTTTATCCTGAAAGTAGTAAGAATCATTACAGGATTTAAAGCAGGGGATAAGATGATCACACTTTTGGAGAAATATCACTCTGGAAGAAGAGTAGAGGATAGACTGTAAGGTGGCAACGAGATCAGTTTGAAGGCAATCGTAAAAAATAGGGTCTTTAACTAGGACTGAGAATGAAGAAAAGTAATATTAAAGAAATATGTAGGTTACAGAATTACTAAAACTTGGCCCCTGTGTTTCATACACAGGGCAAAGAGGAGGGAGAGAAGGAAGCAGTAACAGTAGTAGCATTAACAACTACAATAACATTTACTGAGCACATAATTACGTACCAGACACAACTGCAAGCACCTTACACAGTATTCACTCATTTAATCCTCATTATACTTTAAAAGGAGGTCCAAATATGCCTGTTTTATAGAGGAGGAATGGGGACTGAAACAGGCTTTGAAGACAGGGTGAAGGAAAAAGCCATATGAACAAAAGACAGAAAAATAAAAGATGTGGGAAAAGCACAAACAAGGCTAGTTGAACTAAAGCAGTCAGCTTGTACAAGAGAATAGTAGCTAGAAAATCTGACTGGGTCCAGTTTATGAAAGGTCTTAAATATAAGTTCTAATCTCAAGGCAGTAAGAAGGTCATCAAAGATTTAGAAAAGAGGGGTAGTTTGTACATAAATTTAACTGAGCACCTAACCTCTGGCTAGGTTCTAGGTAACAGAGACAGGATTCCCATGCATTAGTTTATGTACCCAAACGACCTATAGGGATCTGGAAATTAATGTGTCCAGAATTAAGTTCATATTTTCCTTTAATCCCCTCATATTATCCTTGATGCTTTTCCTTTATTCTCAGTTCTAATTAATGCCACTGTATCTACTCAGTTACTCAAGACAGCACAATGTGTAAAAGTACAGGCTCCAGAACCAGACTGCCTGGGATCTAATCTTTGCCTACTTTCAAGTCTCAGCTCAAATACATCCTCTTCTGGATTTCCATAATTTATCAAACTGGAACCCCACAATGTGCCTCCTCTGGAATCCCACAACCCCTATCACATCTCTTATCAAACTCAGCTACAGCTATTTGCATCTCTGTCTGTCTGCCCCAGCAGACTAAAAACCCTTGGAAGTCAGGAACCATGCTGATTCATCTCTAAATATGTGACGCTGCCCAGCACAGGGCCAAGCAAACTAGAGGCTTCAGAATATGAACTCAGGCAGTGTGACTTCATGGCCACTATCTTTGGGTCACTAGATGGACGGCAATGTCATTAACTAAGATGGAGAATACAGGAGAAGGAGAATTAGATAAAAGGGGAGAGAAATTAAAGGGTATTAAGGGTTTAGTCTTGGACACATTAATTTCAAGGTGACAATACATCATACAGGTAAATGATCTTATTCATCTCTACAGCCTTGGTAACTAGTAAGAGATGAATGTTTAATTAAGCATATGAGCAAATTACTCCTCTGTTCAGAACCTCTGATGGCTTTCATACTGCCTAGAGAATAGAGTCCAAACTCACAAGGCAAATTCACACTTCCTAACTGTATCTTTCCCTGCTTTCCTGTATGAGCCTTCTAAGTTAGCTTCCTCATTTGTGCCTGCCTATCCCAAATCCTTCTCTTCCTGCCAAAATGCCTTATGAACTAAGAAATATGAACCGCTTCTCCTTTCACCTTTTGCTTTCACGATCTACCACAAGTCCCTATTCCTTCAAGAAATCTTTCCAGATCACCTTGGTTAAATAATGATCTCACCATACCAACACTCCAAGACTTCATAATGCTCACAAGATAATTCATGAGGTCCATGACTGATTCAAAAGTTCTTCCAGAATCAAAGAAACTGTTATGTTCCATAGATTCAGCATTAAAGATCATTACAATTTTTAAACAGGCACACCATGAATATCCTAGCTCATTTATATAGACAACACATATCAATAAACAATGAAAAAGTTCCAGTCCAAAGGAATTATATTCCCACTCTCCAAAACAAACAAAAATTAAACAAATAAAAACCAAACAGTCCTTTGTTTGACAATGCAGAGACTGGTTAATGACTGAACTACTGAATGAGAGAATTACCTCCTTATATGAAAATAAAAGACTGCCTTATGCAGACAATGTAGTTACGAGTTGCTGGCCCTAAGAGTATTCCTCTTTTCTCAGTCCTCTAATTATAAACAAATTGTTTTAAAAATTCCTCAAAGGTCCACATTTCAAATCCTCCTCAGAGTCCCAGCTTATAACCCCCCACCCCCTGGGGAAAAAACAGTGAGAGAGAGAAATTTTAAAAAATTAAGCAATACTCTTTACATATTCCACAAAGCAAGAAAATGAATTTTCAGGTTGGCAAGCCAAAGCTGTTTCAGTGCTAATTTGAAACAAGTGGAGAAGAAAGGATTTTGCTTATGTGGACTGGATATAGAAGAAGTAGGTAAAAAGGAGATAAATAAGCTCCAAAAAGTGCAAATGCTTGAGACTGGGGGGCCTGCAACAGCCTGGGGGACACAGGCCCACTGAAAACTCCACACCAAGAAACAGAACCACTGGTGTGAGAGCTGGGACACATGAACTGTGAGCAAGAAGACAATTTCCTACATAATCAGTATCCTAACTTTTAGACAGAGGTAAATGTAAAACATACACTTCATATGCATAAACAAAGTTGGTCTACACTAGAACTCTAAATTTGTTTCCAATTCATCCTTCTTCCCCTTCTCCCAGAAGTAATGCCCTTTGACCAGCAGCTGGGAAGTCTCATTTTAAGTGATCAGCATTCCTCTGACATTCTAAGTTGCACTATTTGTTTCCATAGAAACAGCTTTGTCAGCTAACACAAAATTCAGGCCAAGAAGAGTGAAAAGAACTTACATTATGCAAATTGGAAAGTCCTTGTCTACTATCCTCTTAGTTCCTCTTCTCTGGTTTTTCACAGAACTCAGACTAACTTTCTTACTCTGTAAAACAGAAAGAGACAAGTGTAAAAGTCTGCAATGTTTTTCAGAGTGAGGAAATGGGAAAGAAAGGTTAATTCAATATGACATCCAATTCTGTTTGCAGATGGTTAGGATTTCTTAGTATAAAGTAATAAAAATGCACACATATCCCCATCTCTACTGAACAACAAATAAAATCAATGTAAATTACCTGAAGTTAATGATGAGAAAGAGGTAAATATAACTGGTTTAAAAGCTTTTAAAAAAGGGCAAGACTCTTTTGTAGATTATTTTTAATGACATTTTTGACCTCTAGGTAAGGCTTAACAAAAATGTAATGTGTTTTTCTTTGTTTTAACTATAACTTTGGATCAATATAACTATATAGTTTGGATCAATTTTATTACTGGATCAATTTTAAACTGTATAGTTTCATGAAGCCAAGAAGATGCAAAGTTTAGGATCCAAAAAGATCCAGAAAAAATTTGACAGGAGCCACAGTTAATTCAGAGGGGGAAATGTTGATGCCACACTAAAGACCAAGACAGAAGAGGATCCCATCCTAATGAAGATTATATTCTGGCAGAGTAACAGATAATACAAAACAAACATACAATAATATGACTTCAGATAAAGGATTATAGAGAAAGTAAAACAGGGTTATATAATAGACAATGGTCTTTAGAAGAGGAAACATTAGATAAGATGACCACAGAAGGCCTATTTTCGGTGATAACTGAACTGAGACCTGAATGGGGGAAAAAAAAAAAAGTCAGCTGTGGGAAGATCCAGAAATAAAGGGTTCCAGGTTGAGGGAACAGAAACTACGTAAGAATGTCACCAAGAAACTCAATTTCAATATATCCCCAACTGATCTCAACTTCCCTACTACTGTTAATTATATCCCTATCTCCAAGATTTTCCTCAAGCCTTCTTATCCAGTTGCCAAGAGCTGTGGATTCCACAAGGTTTTTAGAATCCATTGAAGAGGGGCAGAATAAGCCATCCCAAAATATGCCACTAAAAGACACTGTTGAGAAAATGAAGTCAAGCATAAAAAGGGAGAAATGTTTGCAAAATATATTCACTATAAATGCTCTAACGACTCAGTAAGTCAAATTTTCCAATTTTTTAAGAGGCAAAAGACTTGAACGCTTACCAAACAAGATATATAAATGGCAAAAATAAACATTTGGAAAGATACTCAACATCATTAATCATTAGGGAAATGATAATTAAAACTACAGTAAGATACGGGGATAAGAATAGACAGAAATTGATGGAACAGAATTAAGAGTCCACAAATAAACTCTCATATTTACAAGCAACTGATTTTCAACAAGGGTGTCAAGATAATTAAATGGGAAAAAAACAAGTCTCTTAAAATGGTGGTAGGGCAAATGGATATCCACAAGCAAAAGATGAGGTTGGACTCTTCACCATAATCAAAAATTAACTCAAAATGGATTAAAGACACACATGTAAGAATGCTATAAAACTCTAAGAAGAAAACAAGCATAAATCTTCATGGCCTAAAATTAGGCAATGGTTTCTTAAGACAGGACATTAAAAGCACAAGCAACAAAAGGAAAACAGATAAATTAGACATGATCAAAATTTAAAACTTTGTGCTTCAAAGGACATCAAGAAAGTGAAAAGACAATCCCACGATGGGAGAAAACTTTGGCAAATCATTTATTTGATGGGGGACTTGCATCTACAATATAGAACAAATACTTGCGACTCTGCAATAAAAAGACAAATAGTCTGCTTTTAAAGTGAAAAGAGAACCCGAAGAGACAGTTCTCCAAAGAAGATAAACAAATGGCCTTATTAAATAAATGCATGAAAAGATACTCAACATTATCAGTCATCAGAGAAAACCAAATCAAAACCATGAGACACCACAACACCCACAAGGATGGCTAGAAACAAAAAGATAAGTGCTGATGAGGATATGGGGAAACTGGAACCCTCATACACTTCTGTTGGGAATGTCAAATGATGCAGCCACACTGAAAAAGTCAGGCAATTCCTCAAGAGGCTAAAAAAGTTACTATATGCCCCAGCAATTCCACTCCTAGGATACAACCAAGAGAAATAAAACAAAATCCACACAAAAACCTTATATAAAAATGTTCACTGCAGCATTTATTAATACCAAAAAGTGGGAAAACCCCCAAATGTCTGTCAATTGATGAATGGATAAATAAGATATTGTATATCCATAATGAAATATTATTGGGTAATAAAAAGAAAGTACTAATACATGCTACAATATTGATGAAGCCTAAAAACAGAGTGAAAGATGCCAGTCACAAAGGACCACATACTGTATGATTCCACTTATGAAATGTCCAGAATAGGCAAATTTAGAGAAAGTAAATTAGTGATTGCATAGAACTGGGTGTGGAAGTGGAGGAGATTATGGCTAAGGGGTGCAGATTTCTCTTGAGGGGTAATGAAAATGTTCTAAAATTGACTTGGTGATGGTTGCACAATTCTGAATATACTAAAAGTCACTGAATTGTACACTTGAAATGGATGAATTGTATTTCTTATATGAATTATATCTCAATAAAGCTGTTAAAAAACACAATGAAATACCATTACAAAGACAATAAATGACTACAATTAAAAAGACTGGCAATACTAAGCTTTGGAGAGGATGTGGAGAAACTGAAACCTTCATACTGGTGAGAATGTGAAATGACAGTTTGACAGTTTCTCAAAAAGTTAAACATACACTTATGATATAACCTAGTGATTCCATACAAGAGAAAAACATTTTTATTTGTAAAAACAAAGATTTATATGGAATATTCACAGAAGCATTATTAATAATAATAGCTTAAAATTGGACACATCTAAATGTCCTTCAAGCTGATGAATGGACAAATAAAATATGGAATATTATTCAGTAATAAAAAGAATGAACTACTGCTATATGCAACACAGATGGCTTCAAAAACATACTGCTAGACACAAGAGTATATACTGTATGATTCTAGTGTATGAAACTTCTAGGAAAGGCAAAATTAGTGCTAATAGAGAGAGCAGTTTACTGGGTTCCTGGAAATGGGAGTGGGAGCAGAAATTGGCCACAAAAGGAGATAAGGGAATTTTTTTTATGTGAAGGAAGTACAATAAATTTAGATTTTAGTAATATCTACATTAGGATATAAACTTCCTGAAACTCAAACTGTACCTGTAAAACATGTGAATTTTATGGAATATAAATTATACCTCAATAAAGCTTTCCTCAAAATTCATCAAATTGAACACTTAAAATTAGTGAATTTTAATGTAAATTATACCTATTGAGTTGATTTTAAATTATACACTTAGAATTGCATCTTATTACATGTAAATTATATCTCAATGAAACACAATTTTAAAAAATATTGCACATTCCAAAAAAAAGTCATACACTGACATCACATAAAAAACCCTATTCAATCTATAAATGTTTAACTCAATGTACAAATTTTAGTTTTTAACAATGAATGGCTGACACAACATCTTCACAGAGCAGGAACTTAACTATACTTAAAACTAAGTAAATACAAGTGAAAACTCATTATTTTTTATTACTGAATAGTATTCTATATTTTATTTGGTTTATAGAATTAACCCTTGAACAACACAGGATATAGGGGTGCCAACCCTCTGTGCAGTGGGAAATCTGTGTATAACCTATAGTCAGTCCTCAGTACAGGTCGCTCCTCCATATCCACAGGTCTGCATTCATGGATTCAATCAACCACGGACCCGTAGTACTGTAGTATTTACTACTGAAAAAACACTACCTGTGAATAGACTTAGACAGTTCAAACCCATGTTGTACAAGGGTCAATTGTATTTGGGGTGGTCATGAAAGTATTTAGCTCAAAAATTATTAGACATAATAAGCAAAAATATATAAACTCACCAAAGAGTAAGGAAAACTAGTTTTTCAATTATTCTTTACAGAGAACTAAAATATTGTATTTTTAAAATAAAAAATATTTGAAGTAAACCAAGTTCAATAGGTACAATGTAAAAAAAATTTTTTTTCAGCTACAAAACAGATTTACACAACTGACAAATCAAGCCCCTAAAATTAAGAAAAAGACCAAGTGCAAATATCCTGGGTTTAGTTTTTAATGGAATAGCCTGATGAGTCCTGTAATAAGGGTATTTCTAAAATTCTACCTAGTTCATGGTTTAGGTTTCAGATGAAGGTAACCTTATTAATCATCCAGATAACTGCATTCCAAAGGAGCCATTGTTATCCTCATAGCTTTAAAACTAACCATGTTTAGAATGTACTATGCCAGATAAATTTATAAAAAATGAAGCAAAATTCCTTTAACTGAAAAAAAAACTTTAAAGTAGAAATCAAATGAGTTAAGATTTCAAAGTGAAGTAGGGGTAACATATATTAGAACTTAAGGCCACATAAGTCATCTGCTCTCACAGATAAAAAAAAGAATGATGTGATTTCTGAAACTCATTTCAACTGGGTATAAATAAGGTAATATCAGTAGCTTAGAAGACAAATCTTTCTCAGATGAAAACTTTCAGAGACTTGCAGCTCTGAATATTCCTGGCAAAACCTGTATATAAAACTCATCTACAAAAGAAAGATTTCGTTTGCAAGTTCCTATTCTTGTCCCATAATTTTAGGCCATACAATTGCCTTGACACAAAAATAAAAAGACAATATGGAAAAAATAGCTGGAAAAGTAGTGCTGCATTTATAATTTGTTAAACATCTATATCCTGAAGTATTAATTTACCAAAGTTTATCAAATACTTACTTGTAAATATCATTTTGACTGCTTTTAAACATTTTTGGAGTACAGTGGTCCTCAACCAAGAGTGCTTCTGCCTTCCACTCGCCCCCCAACAGGATAATTTTGACAATATCTGGACATATTTTTTATTGTCAGGACTGGATTGAGGGGTGCTACTGGCATCTACTTAGCAGAGGCCAGGGATGCTGCTAAATATGCACAGGATAATGCCCCTGAAAGAGTTATGCAGTCCAAAATACGTCA